GTGCAGACATGGCTTCATAACTTCAGTTTCCATAGCATTAAGATCAGCCTTGCCTGAAAAATCAGGCTTATTTTTCCTCCAGTGCAAAATGTGCCTCCATTTAGCACACAGGGGTAAAGCCCTGTCTTCAGTCATGGCCTCAGACTGAATTAACTGAAAACCAGTTTCCTTTGTGTGTCAGTGCTAGACCTGCTTGAGCGGCATTCTTTTTCTGTTTCTTCTCTCCTGTGCTCTAGAAAGCTTCCAGTCTGCCACTGTTTATTTGAAGTTCTTCCTTCCCACTCCCTCCCATAGCACATACGCTGCACTTTCACACAGCTCTGCTGGGGGAGAACTGCAGCTGCTGTCACTTATGCTGCCCAGCTGAAAACCATTTTCTTAGAGCCTTCAGAACCCCCCACCAGGCCATCTCCCCTCAGCTGTTGCAGCTCCACAATCAGCCATCCCTCCCATTGCAATCTCATGCCCTGTCTAGTCAGTGGCTTTTGGCTTTCAGAGGAGGTAGGAATGGCTTCCTGGGACATGCACTGCTACACAGTGTCCAGCATGCAGTGGGTCTTCCTGCAGGTAAGATCTATGAACATTCAAATACTGCAACTTATAAAAGGATATCAACGGCATTGATACCATGTAAGGCAGTTGAAGGGCCTGAATACTAAACAAATTCTTAGATGTGGGTGGAAAAACTCCATTACAGTCTGGATAAAAAAAGGGTTCTCATCTCCATATGCTTTAGGAAAATCTGAGTCACAGGTTTCAACTTGTGCTTGTGTTACATGCTTTATGCTTCTTTATCTGCAGCCATACTGCTGGCTTGTGTGTGGGGTCTACTGCATTGTAAATATATAAGTAATATGGAGAAGATTTCCAGTGACTAGTAGGCAACTGAGGCCACTGCAGATGAGAGCAGTTCTTTCCCCAGAAGATAATTTGCTGTGGTTTTGACAAGAAATAACTAAGTTAAGACAGATGAGATATCTATAGTTCTCTCACATTTCCATTTGAAAATCTTTTCTGCAGCACTCAGTCTTGTTTTAGACATCTTTGTATACTATGCTTAAGCATTCCTGATCTGGTTATAAAAGTTATTTTTCTTGCTTGTGGGCAGTTTTTCACAGCCTGTGCAGAGCAGTGTTGCAACTAGATTGCTACTTTAATGCTATGTAAATAAGTTTTGTTTATATTACATTCAAAGAATAGATACACATTCTTAGTTTGCAGTAAGTAGAGCTCAGTAAATCAGAGGGAATACTAGTGAATAGATGGCTTAGTGTTCCAAGTTCCTTCTAGCTGACTCCAAAGTAAGAACTGATAGCTAGTTTATTAAAGGGATCATAGCAGGCATACAGATAGTAGTGAGGAAGTCTTAAGTCTGCTAGTTCTTCTAATAGTGAGAAAGTGTGAACAATCACTGGGAAAGTCTTGTCTTCACCAATTTTCTCATTAAAAACTTAAAGATACATGATTTACCTTGCAGCTTTCTGTCAAACTAAATTATAATAGCTCCAAAGAGCTTCACATACTGGGTTCCTTTCATGTCTTCTCATGTAACATGTGTCTCCACTTTGTATCCCAGAATCTAGAAGCAGTGTTTCAGGGAGAGCTTAGATTTGCCATGTGGTGCCATTGCACTGATCCACAGATTCATCAGATTCCTGGATTTATCACAAACCATGGTTTAGGCTTTTCCTTGTGGTATCAGAAATTCTGCAGGGATGTCTGCGAGCTTTTAGGTTACAGTGACAGGATATTTTTGATAAATTCATAATGCCTAGAAAATTCATCTCTGTAGCTCCTCTAATTGTTTAGCTCCATGCTGGTGTGAGCTCCATTGCTTTGTGTGCACACAAGACTTAGGAAACTGGTTATGCCAAAACAATGCTGTGCCTGGCTGGCATGCCTTTGTCACATGCATATAGTAAAGTGTGCAGTTGTGTGGTGCATTTCAGAAGCCTGTGTCTGAGCTCAGTTCACCTCAGTTAAGTAACTGCACAGGCCAGGCTTATCAAACATACAACAATGAAATACGTGGAGAAACATATGTACTGAAGATACATTATTTCCTTCATCCAGCTCACACACAGCAGATCATGGTTGTCAAGCCTGCCAAAAATTAACTATTTTCATTATTTTGTCTGTTTTTGAGACAACTAATATAATCTCTGCTTAATTATTTAGAATCCAGTATTCAGACAAAAATATGTAATTTAAAGTAGCACAATTTAGTGGGAAGAATTACTGAGCTTTTGTGGTAAATGTGTCTTTTTCCCTGGCATATAGGTTAGATTGCTTGATAAAAAATCTTGCAGAAGGATCTAGATAGATTGGAGCATTGAACTGTGATTAATGGGATGAAATATAACATGTGTAAATACCAGATTCTGCACCTGGGACTGAGTGACACTGGACACAAGTATAAATTGGGAGAGGTGTGGCTGAAGATCAGCCCTGCAGAAAGGCACCTGATAGTGCTGGTTGGCAGCAGAATCAATGAGTCAGCCATGTGCCTTGGCAGCCAAGGGGCCAAACTGCATCCTGGGGTGCTTCCAACATGGTATAACCAACTGGTCAAGAGAGGTGATTATCCCTCTGTATTCAGCCTTGGTATGGCCTCACCTGTGTGCAGTTCTGGGCCTCAGAGTTTAAGAGGGATGCAAAGGTCCATGTATGTGTCCAGAGGAGGGCAGCAAAGCTGGTGAGAGGGCTGGAAGGGATGTCCTAGAAGGAGTGGCTGAGGGCTTCAGGCTTGTTTGGTTTGGAGAAAAGGAGGCTGAGAGGAAACCTCATTGCTTTCCACAGCTTCCTGAGGAGGGGATGGGGAGAGGGAGGTGCTGAGCTTTCCCTGGCACCCAGTGATCAGATGTGCAAGAATGGTTCAAAGCTGTACCAGGTGAGGTTTTGACTAGATGTGAAGTATTTCTTTACTGAGAGGGTGGTCA